TGCAGTGTCTTTACATGGCATGTATCCAGGGGTCTCTGCCCTGGCTGCAGGTGCTGCAGCACCACGGTGGTAAGTGGCTAAAAAAACCAGGCAGAAGGCATGAAAACTATTGCAGCCAAAGGGCAGCTCAATATAGGATACACAAATGAACTTCAAATACTCCATCTTGTCAAACACTGGCTTATGACCAGGTTACAAGGCAACTCCAAAAACCTCAGAAATTCATACAGGGGTAAGAATATTCTGCCTCTCAGAGGTGAGCCACCTTTGAGACAGGTGCCAAAGGTGGTCTGCAGCAAGGACGGACAGTGGCTGCATCTCAGGTGAAACATGTTGCCCAGCTCTTGGCTCCAGTGGAGCTACAAAAGCAGCAGGAGATCAGTGCCTTGCCCTGGAGAGAGTCAAGACACTGCCAACAAGGTAATCGATCAGCTACATCTTGCTATTTTGGCAATATCTGCTCACCTGCTGAGATTTTATTAGCACACTTAGCCTCTAATTTAGAAAAAACCCCTATAGCTGGATGTTCCACTCTGATGTGACAAGTCCAGGAATATTTTTGAGACTGTGCTTAAGCATTTATTCCTTTATTACCCTGGATAAACAGAGCATTTGGGCTACAAATTCTGAATCTAGATCAAAGCTCTCAGGGAAGTTCAAATAGAGGATTTTGGACTGGACTCATCTCAGATCTGAAAACAAACTGGATATTCTGAATCTACCTTCTGTAGCAAATATCAATATAACACTCCCTCCAAAAATAAGAGTCACTTAAGCAAGCTTATTACTAATCACTGTAAAACCTATTTTAAAAGTCCTGCTTAAAGAGATTTATAGGCATCCTTCAGATGAAAATTTCCTGTTGAAAAGACAGCCTTAGATTAGAATTCCCCACTCAGACTGCAATAAAGCAATCAGTTGTGCAATTCCAAATTCCCATTCACTTAAAGAAGATGTGAACTAACATACCACTGTGAAGTGGATGACGCTCCCTGGACTCCTAGGTTTGCCTCACTTTATAAGGGTGATGCCTTCCCACAGATGAAACCATTTGCATTTAAACTATTTTGAGCATTACTTGCCTGAAAACTACAAGCAATACAAGGCAGACCTAAAACTCTAAGAAAGCACATAGGTTTTCATTACATCAGATTACTGGATCTTTAAATGAATTCGCTTGTAAGCGCAGTTTTGGACAGGAATAACTTTCCTGACTCAGGATAAACTTCATACCGCTGCACTGATCCTATTTCCTCATGTTGGCAAGGCCTTATCATTGCCCCAATTACATCCTTTTGCCAAAATAAACAACATCAGGAAGAAAGGAGGCAACAATCTGAAAAATGGCAAACATATTATTGTATATTTTTTCAGGCACTGTGGCTGTGGCACTGTGTACATAATTTCTAAAATCATTTTAGCTCATTGACTTGTTTTTGTTAACTCAAGTGAAAAGAATTTTATGGCAGAAATATGATATTTTCTGAATTTTGCTTTAAATGGATACTTCTTGCTATTGTTTTCCCATCTCTGTAAACCACTGATTTTTGAATACGGCAGCAAGTCAACACAGAAGATACCTATTCTAAATGAAGTTGTAAATGAGAGTGGACTTTTTATTTGACAGAGATCAGTTGGTAATTAACCAGTGTTAATTTACGCAACTAGGTAACTCCTAACTGAAGGGTGGATTCAGCCTTATTTACGCTGGTCCTCCTGCGCCATGTAGGACCACACTTTCCATGACAGTTAGAGCACTGCCTTGAATGACTGCTGCTCCCTTCTCTGCTGAGGGTTGGTCTAGTGAAGAAAAGCTGTTGGTAGCAGAGGCAGCTTCCTGCAAGCTCTGCCACTAGTGTGCCTACCCCTGACACATCAGCTACACTTCAGACTTCTCAGGACCCTGTACATTTTTCAGTCTGCAGATCCCAGTGTGCACCGGCATTTCAGTGTGTGTTTGTGTTTATGCCACTTCCACCTGCACATTGCAGAACCAGAAAGCCACAACAGTAAACGTGAGACTTTGTAGGAGATCGATGCCTTTGTGTTTGCTAATAGCACTATGGCAAATACACAGGGCTATGTTATCACGATATCCTGGTTTGGGGGGAAGTCCTTTGCTTGCAGAATCCCATAACGTTTCAGGGCAAAACATGCAAATTCACCAGATTTCAGACTATCCCTTCCAAGAAAACTGCCCTCTTCTGGTGACCCTGTCCAGTCACTTCTTACAATTACAGGTGCTGAATTTTGAGTTCAAGGTTCTTAAAAGGAAGGAGCAGCACAGGAATGATGCAAATCTGAGCTGAAAGATACTGTTAACTTGAGAACTTTCCAGCTTGTTTGGGTATAGTTTAACTTCATTTAGCCTGAAAACAATCGATACAGTGGCAAGCTGAATGCATTACTATTCAGAGACAACACATTTTTTATTGATCAGAAACAACTTGGACATTTCTTGTCAACTTAGGAACTCAAACCCAGAAATACCAATGTTAGCAGCTTTTGAAAACACCAGCCTTATGCTCTGCAGAGAGAAATAATATCCACCAGCAGCCCAACAGGAGTAGTTTTCACATCTGCCCTTGCATCTGAGGAGAGTTTAACCTGGGGATTGAGCCCTCAAAACTTTGCTGAGAAATAAAAGCCCTTCTTCCTTATGTTTCATCCCCCCCTTCAAATATGGATAAAGGTCAGTTTGGAATAGCACTAAAACTAACACACACAAATACATGTACCTGCTGTATTTTGTGTCATACAGTGAGTTTATTGCAACTAAGCAAGGAGAGTTCATACAACTGAACAAGTATGGAAACAATCTGCTATTCTCCTCTTGCAAAAAGACATTAAACAGCATATTCTGGGTGAGAATAGCAGAGAAGAATTTGAGGAATCAGATTCCTTCCTCAGCCTATAATTTACCCATGCAAGCCACCCACTAGTATTAATGGGAACTCTGCATATTTAGCTCTGCTTCAGACCAAGATGGTACATAACATAGCAAGGTATCAAATTTCTTCTAGGATGAAAAATGCTAAAATTTTTTTTCTGCACCATTCCAGTACATGTGTCTCTCATTTTCCTCCTCTAGCCGCTGCTTATATACCAGTCTGACTCCAGTCATTAAAAGTCGTATTAGTGGCTTTTCCTTACACTCAGATTTGCACTTCCAAGCACTGATAACACCTGTCTTGATGCTCTTCAAATAACTCTCCCTGAAAGCAGATCAAAGTAAATCCACAGCAGAAAGAACTGCGATTAAAAAAACAAGGAAGATGTATTTACTGCATCTTCTGTTGAGCTGTCATCAGTGTTTTGTATATTCAAACATAATTTTCTTTGTAATTTAGAACATCAGTCCCTCACATGATATCATGTGTAAAAGGCAGAGTACCCAGCAGTACCAGTTCAAGAGAAAGTCTGCAAGAAGATAAGATAATTTTTTGCTTACAAAAAGGTCAGTACATACTCCAAAGTCTAACACTGGGATTTTTTTTTTAATCCAACCCCTGAAGGTTCTTTTTCTTTCTACAATGAGGCAGAGGCAATTTACCTACAATCAGATTTTTTCATCTCAAAAATTATTGACTAAGTTAAAGAGGCATATTTGTACTGAATGGAATTAATATAAATTACAGTATTTACAAAAAATAACTAAAAGCAGAAAATACGCTTGAGATTAAATTAATTAAAAATTAAAGTAATTTAAAATTAATAAGAAAATATTCAAAAGAAAAAAAAGGGACTTTTACAAATGATGTAAAACATTGTGAGATGATAACCTCATAGCCAAAGAGTTGAGAACTTTGAAGCCACCATCTCTCAGAGAGTAATATAACGGGTTTAGGGAAGTTGTAAGCCGTTTAATTACTTGGTACTAGAAATCATCCATTCTCCTACCGTGACCTCTAGGTGGCACAAAAGAACCTAAACTAAGTGGATCTTTACGATTTTTCAGGTAATGTTATACTCTCCCAATCAGCCTCCTCAAGTCGGCAATTCCAACATCACAAAACACATGTCTATTAACCTGTACTAAAGAAACTTGTCAAAATAAGTAGTAAAGTAACAGCTACTGTAGCTAGGCAGCTCATTTTTTACTGCTTTTAATGGTGCACTGAGATATAAATCATTAATTGATTCTCCACAGTACATCCAATATCCTTTCACCGTCAACTTATAATACTTAAAAGGAACAATAGGCTTACTAGAAATAAAGTTAAGGTTTACATTTAGTTTAGTGTAAAGATTACTACAGCACTAAAAATACATACCATAAAAACTAATTTGCAATCATAATCCAGCAGGAGAAAAAAGTAACAATGAGTAAAATACATCCATTACCTCATCTTATTTTAGATTACAGTATGTAAAAAATCAAAGGGTCACTGAAATCACATCCAATCAATATTTACTGCAGCAGTAACTAGAAATGCTGCTTTTTGACTTAAGTGATGTAGCTGTTGATATGAACATAAGACTGGCATGTTCTGCATGACAAGAGAGAAATTTTATATTAACATGCACAGCATGTGAAGTACCACAGCAGCCCTCAGTCTCTCCTCACAAGGATGGCACCACACATGCATTTTGCCCCAGGTAAGACAGTATGACATTAGACCTCCCAGTGTTTCTTCTCCTCTACCAAAAAATGTGCATGTGTACACTGCCCTTGCATCAATGACGCCACCCATTTCCTTTGTCTCCTGCCTTAGCCAAATCATTCGCGCTCACATCTGCGGATCACTCTGACCAAAACCAAAATCACCTTCCCCTCCTAACCTGCCCCAGCTCTCTGCATACAATTGCCCAGACAGGACTTTCAGCACTCTATCATTCAATACCATTCAGTCTGAAATGCTTTGACTCTTCCAAGACTGAACATGCAGTCATGCATAAAATACTTCAAAGCATTACGTTGAAGAGCATTTGCATCAACATGGGATAACAGAGCATTGCATCATGTGCCCACAACTGAACAGGAAAGGAATTTCTCTCACCTGGCATAGAAATCTTTTGGTGGAACAACCTCCTGAAAGAACTGTAGCTGGTACAGATAGAGTCCGATCAAGTGCCCCGCACTGAATATAGCCATTAATACACACAGACAGCTGAATATCAGCGGATCAAATGCTTGGCAACAGGACCACCATGTGCACAGGCCCAAAAATACAAAGAAATACACAGCTGAGGTCAAAGATGGCACCATCATACCTGTAAAAATAAAAGCATGGAGGGTTGGAAAAGAGTGGGAAATATTAGCACTTGTTAAACCTGAAGTCTGACAACAAGTGTATGAAACAATTTAATCCAATTAGTGTTTATGCTAATTATTACAATTAGCTCTTAAGACTGCTGTTAGCTTTGAGACTAGAAGAAAAGGATCTTTTTTCTGTTCAATTCACTTATGCCATACCTTAGCACTTAGTACACAACCGCTCTCCAGACCTTCCTCTGAGATGAAATCTTCTCTTTGCAAAGACATCTCACAAAGCATGGAGAAAACCAGAAACGTGGCTGCAAGGCCAGCCAACAGTGCCTGAGAGCACTAGTGTATTAGACTCAGAATTAATTTTAAGTAGAGGATGCTAAAATGGCATGAGGAATGAACAGTGAAAATCCTTCTCATATAAATCTTGGGATATCTTGAGTTATTAAAACTAAAAAACCCTTGATGCATACACTGACAATAAAAGAGATCTAGATAAAATCTAGAGAATATTCAGTAAATGTTTGATTTTTTTTAACTCCTAGAAACTTGTAATTTACATATGACAGACTCCACTGTCTTACATATGTATATTGGTTTTGCTGTTGCACATGTAGCAGAGTACTTCACTTGTGAATATGTCTAACTGGTGAAGGAGACCTGATGCTCTGCGGGTAGCCTACAAAAACAAGTGAGGAAGCAGGAAAGACATACATGTGGCAACCATGAGAAAATGACGTAAGAGAGCTTACATCCAGCACAGCAGTCCAGGGGAGTCTCTTAAGTAACAGTCCCGAAGCTAACAGGGATGCCCGCCTCAATTTATTTTTAAGTTTTTTACTAGTGCATGTCTAGGAGCCACCTTCCTCAGGACAGACCTGTAGGCTCCCGGTGGCCCCCGGCTCCAGTGGGCCTGCTGGCCCTGCAGCTGGGCCACCTCTCCAGCGGGAGGACTTGCACCTTGCCAGGCACCGGCTTGCTGTGTTTTTTGGGGGCAGCGCTCCAGGGGTTGGTCCCTGTTGGGCCTGTCCGGGCACTGTAAGGACTCTTATCCATCATCATTTTGCCCGAGTTTCACCATCACATCTCTCACATTGTACCTCAGACCGAGTCTTCAGACCAGGGTGCTCTGTCTCTGCACCGGTGTGTAACTTGCTGATGTCTCCATAGGCTCGCAGTTTACAAGCATGACAGGACCACAGGGATCATCTATTCCGACTGCCTTCATGAAGGGGGCTGTAAAACTTCACCCAGCAATTTCTGCCTCAAGTCTGTAACTATTTCATTTTTCTTTCAAAGAGTTACTTTGTCTTTATTTAAACACTTTAGGAGAAGGAGATTCCACTATATCCATAAATAAGTTGTTTATTACGGCCAATTTCTCTGGCTGCGAAAAATTCAGAATTTATTTCTGGTCTGAAATTGCCTGGGTTTACCACTTAAATATTGGCTCGTATTATAACTTCTACTAGATGAGATGTCTGTTAAAAAAATGGAGGCACTTTGTACCTTTGTCAGTACTTTAAGGCTGCAGACAAATCTCCATTCATCTTTTTTTTTTTCTTGGCACGGTAAGTAAGGAAGTATTTAACTAATTAAGCTCAAGGTCTCTCTATGGAATACAGGCTTCCCAGACCTGAAGTCCTTTTTGTAACTCTCCTCTGAACACCTCCCAGCTCTCGGTGTGCGTTGGAGTCCCGCAGACAAGCTGCCCATCACTGCTCAGAAGAAACTGTCCCCTGCCACTGCTGTGTGATCCTTCTGCTTCACCCTCCCTGGGAGCAGTTCACCCACGCAACTTCAGAATGACAGGTCTGGCCACGTTTGGTTTTTGTTTTTTTTTTTAATGGCATCTCTCTTCCCTGATGTCAGGCCCCATGGTGATCCACATAACCTATTTCTTTCCCTTTTTAGATTTATTACTTTGCATTTGGCTACACGTAAGGCTGTCAGATAATCCTACCTTACTGAAAAAGCCCGTCTGATTAAAAGGGCCACACCTGACCAGTCCTCGTCATTCAATATCAAACATTTTTTGTACTATTGTTTTATACTTCATATACTAGTATATTTATGTTAAGTATACACTTATACTTTATATGTAAGGACTCCATTCAAATATGTGAGTGGGCAGATAAATGCTAATTTACAATTGCATGATCCAATTTTGAATTCATTAATTACAACCTACAGTGATTTTGTAGACTTTCATTCTGGCTGTGGCTGATTATGTGGTACTAAATCAAATGTCTTATAAAAAAGTTGGCTACATCATATCAAAACAGCTACTTTTACCAACCACATCAAAACCCAACATGAAGTCTGTTCATTGCTCTTTACACACTACATGGTCGACCTCTTAATGTTTTCTGTTTTTTCTTTTCTTTTTTTAAAGGCTATGTGAATACAGTTCCTTTTTACACTTGGAAGTAATGGAACCAAATATATGAATTCACATTATAATATATATATGTAATATATAGTAACGTATAATGTGCAACCATTCACCGTTTGGTTATAACAGCAACTGTGAAAGTCGTATATGGAATGATAGGGCCACACAGTATTAGTACAAAAAATTAAGCAACTCAGTATACTCCAATGCCTGCCAAGAATTAATTTAAATAAAATCAGCAGCAATTTCTTTTCCCTTAAAAATTTCCATTGTTATTCCCGCAGGTGCCAAAGAGCTGAAAACTCATATGTTAAACGCATAATCTAATGGGCTCTGGAGAAAATTTTTCAAATGCACCAACCTGCTGAACCAAGTAAAATTGTAACAACAACTTTTCCAGTGGTGATTATCATGTTGCCAATAAACTCCCTCAGTTTGGATGCTAGGGAGGCGATTCTACGCAGCAGTTTTAATTTCATGGTTTCCTCAAATTCTGCTTCACCACAGTCTTCGTCATCCAGATCTTCTTCATACATCAAAGCATCATCTGGCTCTAACTTTTCTCTTACAGCCTAAAGGAGGAGGGGGGGGAAGAAAAAGAGAATGCAAAAGAGAGAGACAGAGTTGCAAAGGAATTTGAAATTAAAAACCACACGTATGTTATTTAACAATGAAGTCTTATAATCTTTGACTATGTGCAAGTAACGAGAGTTAAGAAAGATGTACTAAAGCTAGAGTTGTACATTGATGGCTCCCACTTCAGATCTGTCTCAAGAAAAAAGATGTTAAGGGTTGTCTCTGAGAAAGACTGCAGTCCTCCTAGATATGCACAACAGGCTGCTTGTTCATTTTTATATGAAATTTAGTTTGGTTTGCTCAGCATTCTTTCCATCTTGCTATCTATTATCTGTTAAACTCCTCTTTGGCTCAATGACTTTAGGTATAAGCTCCAGCCACTAAGCACAAGTGCCTTCCTGGTTGATGTTCCTCAACAAATCCCACTTTTCAAACCCTTCCCCATGAACCCTTCCTCGGACTATAAATGCAAAACCTAGAATGGGGTGAGTAGGAGTGATCTGAGACAGGGCAACAATGGCTGAAATAAATGCACGTAGTTCATTGGTGACTGAAGGGCAGTTTGGGAGAGAAAAAATACACTAAGCAGAGGCTTGGGGAGAGAATGAGAAATGGTGAGATCGGCTGATGGTGAAGGAAATGGAGAAAAAGTGAGCAAGGGAGAAGTAGTGAAAGCTTGAGTGATCTGCAACAATTTAGCAGGGGAAATGAGACCAGTGGCTTAGAACTACACAATGGAAAAAGGGAAAGAAGGAAACATGTAAAGGCCCCTCATACTTGAGCAGTTTGTTAGGATTTGGCAGTGGCCTTCACCATCGAGTCTCCATCGTATCTTGGAGACCAGAAGACATACACAGCTATTGAGTGATGCAGACTAAATCATCAACCCACGGTGAGAATCTGCAGGATTAGCAAGAGGCCCACCCAAAGATACAATTTATGGAAAAATTAGTCATTCACAGACATGTAGGGGCATATTTAAAAAAAAAAAAAAAGTAATAGTTTTGAGCCAGGTTCTCCCTTGGTGTAATAAAGCATAGCTTCTTTGGCACTGAGCTGAACTTATATTAGCTAATGTCAGTTCTGGCCAAGCAGTATCTCTGTGTGTGAAAGAAAGAGAGTCTATTGGTATTTTTCATCAGAATAGCAGTTTTATATTTATTGGTGACCTTTGGCAACAAAAAATTCCACACCGACAGATAAGACTGCAGTAGGAACAGCTGAATTCTCAGCCTACTTAACCAAATTCTTCAGTACCATTTTGTTATGTGGATTCCCAAAGGAACAAAATTCCCTGTGGACTCCTTCATTTCACCTCTAAGCTTGGTGCCAACTTTCTCCTCTTACTTTGGAGCATTAACAATGCTGTGAATGCCCAGAAAAAGCCTGCATATTCTCAAGAGTATCTATTTTACAGACAATGAAATACATATTAAATAAAGTAGGGCTGATCTGGGAAATCTACATTTCTCTTGGACATATCCAGCTATTTCAATAGCTATACCCATTATAAATGGAGTATACTAGCATTTCAATTGCTTTGTTATCGTCACCATTCACTTATACAGCTCTTAACATAGGAATTATTAGATCCTTATGCAAAATAATAGAGGAGATGGCAGCCCAAACATGCAGTCATCACATTTCGAGCCATGCAGCACAAAGAGGCATTCTGTCTGTTCATCACTGCTGCTCGTAACTGAGCTCCTGTCTAAACAGGAGCTACTTAAATATTCAGAAACAATGCTGACAGTAGGCTGAACGATACATTATGCTCTTACTTCTGCCACCGCTGTTTCAGTGAGAAAGCCATACAAGGGGCAAAAGTTATGATCATTTCTGCTTGTGCTGTCATTACTAGATGAACCTGCTCCTAATCTAGTCCTTTTGGGGCCAATCCTGCTCCTCCTGGACTGGCCCTGGTGCTCCGTGCCTTGAGCTTAATATGACCAGTGAACAGTGAAACCTTCAATAGTGTTCATATCCCAAAAGAAAGAGAATGAGTGAGACTGCTGGACATTTAAAGGTTATGAAATGGCATGCCTACTATACATGGGTGTGTGTGAAGGAGACCCTTGTTTCTTCAGCTAGTGCTTTCAATTTGCTGAAGACAGTATACATTAAAATGTGGAATTACTTACAAAAAATGTATAGGAATAATTTCAAAATAAGTAAGTTATTCCATGGGAGATTGTCAGGATTCGTATCTCTATGACTACCACAAATCTATGTTGAACATGAAGACAGGATTCATACACTTATTACAGCTTAAGCTGAATGGGAATTCTGTCAAAATTGTTGAGATAGCACTTAATTATACATATGCAGGAACAGGAAATAAAAGTCTGAAGAGTCAAAAAAGAAAATAATAAGATGTTATCCATGCAGAAGCAGAAAAATGTTCTTGAGGGAAAAATGAACAAAATGAAAATATTTTTAAGTATAATTTCAACAACCTTCAAACAACCTTCAACAACCTTCAAACAACAAAATAAAAAAGAGGACATGGAAGTAAGAAAACCATATGAAAACAGCCCAATGAAAGGTGAGACTTGACACCCTTTTCTGTCTCTTCCCCTACCTGCCTCCCTCACCTCAGGTGCCAAACGCTCAATTTCAATCTCCTCAAAATGGGTCTTTGGATTTTCCTATCATGATAACTAGGACCATAATTTTTTAACTTGGCCAGGCTAATCACTCTTGCTTCATTGATCTGAAGGACCCTTAGGCTACATTTTGTCTTAAGAGTTCAGTATTAATAATCTAGTACTGACACGTATGACACAGCACACCCAGGGAGAAGCACTAGGAAAGAGGATATTTCTCTGGACCAGGATACAGCTGAGAAGGAGATGGTGGTCCAAAATTTCCATGGACTGAGGCTTACACACTTTAAGCATAGCTAAAAGCTTGCAAGTTGATGAGTTACCAAAGAAGTTAACTTCCCTTGTATTTCCACTTCTGTTTAGATATGAAAATATGAATTCCAAGTTCTAAAAAGAAGTTAGAACCTCACAAAAACTCACAGGAAATGCAGAACAACCTACTTCTGGTGTTACTGAGGTCATCAGCAGGGGAAAGAAAACTTCAGCATTCTGAACCTCAGCAAATACCAAAGTGATTTCCCAAGTTTTCCTTCTAAAACAACAACTGTCTGTTTGGAGTTGGGGTTCTTCAAATGCTCTCCTCAGTTTAAGACAAGCTAGCAAATGGGAAAACCTGATCATCAACGACAACCATAATCTGCAGTCCTAGAAGCTTTTCCAGAACAGATGCATACATACCATTTTGTTTCAGCACAGCCTGAATTATCTATGATATCGCTGTGCAAGGATTGCCTGGTTTCAGAGACCAGGATTTTGCACCAGCATGCTTCCTGGAAGAGGTGGGTTAGCTTCTGCATCTCTCTCTTCCCTGTCTGCAAGCACTTTTAAGGATGATACCTCAGTCCTTAGCCTTATTCTGTCTACCTCCCAGTGGTGTCATTCATGACCGAGTTGATGATTATTTCAGTGAAAAGACTATGATGGCTAAACAACTATAGGTTTGGTATTTTTTGTATACAAACATATCTGTTTGTAATTCAGTATCCAAGGTGAAGTCAAGTAGCCGAAAAGCCATGTTCCTTTCCTGAAGTAGCTGAAAGGCCACGTTCCAGTGTACGTCAACAAGACAAACCTTGGATTCCCCCATTCTCATATTCACCACCCACCAACTGGATTATCTCGGATGGCTTTCCAGTTTCTCACATTGAGCACTTCAAATTGCTGAAGGCAGGCAAACAGTGAACAGTTTTTACATCCAACATGGTGATAATGTGCCTGTTGTTTTACCACTTTCTGATGATTAAGTAGCCATGCAAGTACACGCTCATCACAGAACACCAGTACTCCAGTCAGACTGTTTTGCAAAGCTCTTTTTACTATGTGGATTAGTCTAAAGCTACAAACCCACGCTCCATAGGCTACAGTTAGAAAAATACTTTTACTTCCATAATAAATTACTTATTATGCAATTACAGGATCCCTGTGGAAGCTGATTAAATCAAATAAACTTCTCCATTCAAGGAGTATAGAGCATTTGTGAAGCCATAAACATGTGTTTCCATGACCTTTGCTCTGCAGAGCAGGGCCCCAGGACTTTTTATAAATAAACTAAATGTAGTTTAGGTTTTTCAGCAATCGTGTGGAAGTCCCAAGAGTATTTATTGTACAACACTTTTTTAAACTGCCAAATTGAGATAGAGAACAGGCAAGGAAACAGTATAGCCTCTGTGGCAGCTATGGCAGCTACTATTGTGACCAGGGCCAGAATGTCCATTAGCAACTTTGGGGGCTGCTTTATTAACATCCAACTTTTAAATGTTTCATCTGGTACAGTATAAACACTACTGCACAAAGATATCCTCTAGTCCCACAGATGTATTTACTAACAGGAAACCTTAACCCCAACCTAAAACCCATTCTTGCTTTAGAACACTCCTTGCTTTGTACCTACTTTTAATGGTATTGTATCCGTAAACACAAATTTGCTCATTTATTGACTTTTTGATTCTAGAGAGGACACAAATGAAACTCTTCAAAAATTCAAATAATGAGAGCAACAAAATTTAACTAACCAGAACTGTTACGACTAAGGATATATAAGTCTCAAGAATGGACACAACTCCCATCCCTGCAAATGCTTTGCATTAATTATCAGGACCTCTCAAGCGTGCACTGCTAAGCTCACAAGAATAAGTTCTCATGAGAGTTCACGTGCTTCCTCCTTCCAGTTGGCTCATAAACGCTGTACAAATAGCCTCTTTTGCAGTATTTTGACATTTCCTCCCAGCCAGAACCAGGAAACAAACAGAGGAGTGAGAAAATGAAAAATAAGCCTTAGAAAAACATACAGTTATGTGAAGTTCACCAACTGTTTTTAACATGTTGCTTCCAGAGTTTTTAACAATGGTTAAATAGATCCTGCTGTGTCAGCTCAATTTATCAATTTATCT